AGTGAAGTGTGCGGTGATTCTAAGATCGACGGCACTCATCTGCATGTCATACTGAGTGACAGTATTATTTCTCTTCCCCAGCAGACTCCAAGGGCATTTAAATTAAAGGTACAGTGTTCTGCACTAATATTAAGTCTCTCTGAAGCCTAGAAACACCCTTTTTTAAGTTAAATTCACAGCGAATTTATTCGACTCGAATCGAATATTGTCCACGAATTCGCCGAATCAGTCGAATCGAATTTTTCATTTCTTCGCTCATCTCTAATCCTTATGTCGGGATCACCAAGTATTATTTAATGAAAGCTGTAGGTAAAAAAATAATGAAAATTACAGAATAGTACCCACTACCAACCAATTCAAACTGACTCTGCTGAAGTCAGACCAGGACAAGATGGATTGAGATTTGTTGCCATTCTTTTTTTTGCAGCAGCATTTTTATTGAACACATTAGGATGAAGATCTACAAAAAATACTTTCAGTAATATATAAAAACTGTGGCTGTTAATAGAATACATTTCAGCTATTATGTTTACTTAAATAAGGCTTTGATTTAATAGAGGAGCCCATGATGACTCCAAGGCTCCTAGCAATGGGGGTAAGGCGTCTTATAGTGGCGTTAGGGGGTGGAAGATTATTAATTCAGTACTGTAAAGAGATAATTTGAGAAAGTTGGAAGACATCCAGGATGAGATAGATTTCAGGCAATTAGTAATTATGGAGTTAAGAGAGGGAGGAGATGTAAATTAAAAGGTGACAGTGAAAGAGCTGATTAAAGGACCAGATCCTTTATAGCTCTATATTTTAAATATTTCCCACTTACTCCATACTGGATTTGTTCAGTGTGGAGCTTTCAGTGCTGAGAGCAAGAACATACCTTAGAGCTCTGCTGTTATCATGATATAACATATCCATGATTCCAAAGAGCCCCCTAAGACATAACCTTTCCCCTGCCTGAACCCTTCATCTAAAATAATGTTAATTTTTAAACGCCCTTACCACTATCAACTTATACTTTAATACAGAAAGTGAATCCATAGTTTGTCTATGCAGGACAAAGGAGGGAGGGGGGGTGTGGATTTCTTTTATTTTTTTTCCAAAGATGCAACATCGAATGCCTGATTGACATATTGCTAGGCTGAGCACTGTCATATGGGTGAAGGAGGAAGGCTCTTAGCAGTTGTAATCTCTGATCAGACCACTTTGGGGGAGAGGGGCTATTAAGTGAACCCATTACTTTGCCCTGTGTGGTTCTCTTTAACTCTCACCTAAAGGGCTTGCTGCCACACAATGTGTTTCAGTAAACCATAGCACCTGACCAATATTTCATCAGTGAGTCTGGCAAAAGTAGGATGGCAACAGAAACTAGTGCACAAAAAAAAAAACCCAGAACAAATACCAGTGCAATAAGGGTTGGCAATATGCGCAGCTGCTTTTAGTTGGTTCCTATTGAAGCCACTTTGATCTGCCTCTAGTCTCAGTCCCTCTTCCTCTCCCACAGCAGTAGCCAGGAAACAGCAACAAGCATATGTTCCTGAAATTTGTGCAGCACCTCAACTGTCTGCTATGTAAAAGAGGAAACAAAGTCATACAGTCAGCCAGCAAGACAGCCTAGCAGCACCTCAGCCTTAAGGAATGGAGACATTGAGTGACACTGATTGTTTTTAGTATCAGTGTACTGCTAGCAGCCTGTTTAAAAAAATTAAGAAAATGACAGACTCACCTAAGCCCAGGTCAGCATATCACCCTTAAAACATCCTGGAACAAATCACATTGTTCTCAAGACCCACAGTACAAGCCCTCTAGATACCAAGATTTCATCTAGATTGAACCCATCTGCAACTCCATTCTCTCATCTAACACCCAAACATAAAGTATTGTATACCACCTCCAGAAACAGTGAAAGGACTGAAATAACTGATACCTCAGATCCTGCAAGATACAAAACTTACAGAGAACCAATTGACATTGGCCTCTTAAAGTTTGATGATTGCCAATACCCAACGCTGGAGTTCCACATTAAAGTCTGTAGTCCAGGACCTTAGCATCCCACAATGTAAGAACTTGATCTGTTGATTTGATGGTTAGGCCCTAAGAGATCTAAAACTCTTCACATCCACAAAACAGACAAAGGCCTTAATCTTGCATGGAAGAGACTAGAGCAAAGTAGTTCTGCAGTAATAGAACTTGCTTTATTCAAAAAATTATAGGACATTTCTAGATTGTCCAACAGACGCAACCAGTATTTCAGAAACTGGGAAATCTTTTTTCTTGAACTTGAAATCACCAAAGAAGACCATATCTACCAGGTCTTTACTTCTTAAAGCACATGGTGGGTTCAAGATATAAGACTCTAGAAATAATGTCTCCAGTATAAATATGGGACTTACACCCACTACCATTGGGGACAGAAAAATTAAGACAAGAAGACGCAGCTCCCAATGTCTAATTCACTACAAACCTCATCCTTTCAGGAAATGTCATGCATTCAAGGAAGAGCCCTTTGAAGAGTGCAATCAATTTATTAGGGGCCATGCTATTTGCTTCAGACGTCATGCATCTGCAAAGTGCTTTGCCATAGACTGCAAGGCTACAATTAGGCTTAAAACCTTTATTTTCACTTGTTGATCCAGCCAGGAAATCTGTTATTATTCAAATTCCTTTAACAAACCAAGCTGTCTAGCAAGAGAGGCAGAGGGTTGAGACAAACCATTTACTACTGCCAGTGGTGCTTACAATCTTCAGCTTTTACTCAATTATGTAAAACTTTCATAAAAAAATAGAGACAAATGTTCAGCTTTAATTACTTAGTCAGGTCCATCTAAATCTGCTAGTGCATCTAACACTCTCTCCCTAGATTGACAATGCTGTTGTCCAAGGGTGGCTCTGTTGCACCTCCATCTGGAGTGGAACCAACCTGAGACAGGAAGTGTGTTACCTGCTGGATCACCAGGTGAAAATATAGGAAAAAGAGCCTAAACAAATGTAACCACCATGTAAGGATTTAATGGCTGCAATATATTACATTTTTGTCTTTTGGTTTACTACCACCTTATGTTCTCAGAATGTGACTATGACATGCATATATCAGCCTTACATTAAGGCCCCTTTAAACAAAACTGTATGTCTACCTAAGATATCCTCATCAGATCATGACGGGGAGAACCATAAAGTCACCTCCAATAATCAAATTGAAATATATGGAAAGATAATGTTACTGTACATCACACAGAACTTTCTGAAAAAAAAGGTGCTTAAAATATGTTTGGTTAAAGTGTTTCCTTGAGGGTAAACAAAGAAAGCTAGAATGTATACTGTTTTAGATGACCAAAGCAGTCATTCTTTGCAACTTTCTTCAACAAGTTTATTATAAAGGGAAAAGTAAGTAAGTTACTGAAGGAGTTTACATACCTGTATTGATCAAGTATAATCAAATACATAATGATAAAGATTAGATCCTTACACCTAAAGACACATATGATGTATAATTCCTCAATTTAACTGAATATGTCCAAGCACTTGACAACAATGCCAAAATCATGCTCCTGTTGGAAAAGGATATATAAAGAGTGTACATGATGCAGGAACAGTTTATTTGTTGTAACAATGGTGCCTATGCCCAAAGGACAGGGCTAGTTTGGGATGTTATCAATGCCCCACACTCTACTAAGAAGCAGAATTCATGCACTGCACTTGTAAACAGTTCTTAAGAGAATTGAGGGCGCCCACTGTGATAATGCGAGTTCTCATACTTTTATCAAGTCTAACATGTGAAAATCATCCTATAATAGTGTCCGTGGAACAACATCTCAAACTACTACTGACTGCAGCAGGACTGAAACTTCAACAGGTGAACAGGAATCTAAAATACTAAAGTGATACTGATGTTCATTAGCTCATAGACTGTATTTAGTAACTTTATATCATTGTCTGCTTCAATAGATACTGTTAGATAGTTGTTCACAGAGGACCAGCTGCAACTTCAGATTAGTCGTCAATGCAACTACACCTGATGTCAGCAAAACAGTAATGTCCTTTCACTTAGAGAATCCTGGCAAGGACCGCAAAAGACTTTAATTCTACATTTCTGCAATGGAATTTTACCTTAAGCTACAACTCAGCTTTAGATTCATCCATCAAGACCCAAGCTGATCCAATTGACAGCTCAAGCATCACACCAGGAACTCTTCTCACAGATAAATATCTATGAAACTCAACAGAGTTGTCTTCATCAGTCATTGTGCAAGAACAGCTTTTATCTTCGTAAGCTGGAAGCAGAGCCTCCTGAGCATGGACTTTTCAAGACGTTTCCTCACCCAGAGAGTCTATCAAACTTTCATCAATAAGGGACCTTGCAAGCCTTGCCACCCTTGGGGATGTGACGTGATATCTTTATGGTATATTCCAAGATGTGTCAGGTTCAGGTTCATCTGAGACTTCTTCCTTCCCTTATAAACGTATGCATGTATGTTTGCATGATTTTTTATATCATTTAGGTCCAAAGAACAGCTTCATCTATATTTATGGATTTGGTGTTTATTGTTGTAGTGTATTGCATTAATATTGAATATTGGTATCTATTGATACCAGACAAAAGAGTGTGCTGCCAGCAACCATTTATTTTTGTGCCCTTAGTACGATCCCTTGTTCCTTTTTTCCCTTTGTTGCTTTCTTTGGGTTTTTTTTGGTGGGTGGGTGCTATGGAGTAGACAACTCATGCAGACTACTGCAGAATCTATGAGCAGCCCACATTTTCTTTATTCAATTCTCCACTAAATGTGCAGTTACATCAGCCAGCCCAGCCACCAGGCTAGTGCCAACACCAATGATGATGCTTTCCTAAGCAAGAGTATCTGTGACCTCCCACATGGAATAAAAATATATTTGAAATACTATAATTTTGGCCATATGCAATATATATGAAAAGCGCGGCGATTGGTGGTGCGCTGTGTCCCTGGGACACAGCGAATCAGTGATCAATGGAAAGAGCCAAAGACGTCGGCTCTGTCATGTGATCAGCTGTGTCCAATCGCAGCTGATCACATGTAAATAAGGAAATGCCGGTTATCTGCATTTCTCTCGCTGACAGCTTGTGACGAGAGGAGAGCCGGTAATCGGCATTCCTCAGAGGGTACATGTACACTGATCATCAGGGCACTGATGATCAGTGTAGCCCCAGCAGTACCACCTGTCACTGCCCATCAACGCCACCTGCCAGTGACCATCAGTGCCACATCAACGCCACATAGTGCCTATCAGTGCACATCAATGCTACATATCAGTGCCCATCTGAGCTGCCTTTCAGTGACACCTATCAGTGTCTGTCAGTGCCACCTATCAGTGCTGCCAATCAGTGCCGCCTACCAGTGCCTGTCAGTGCCACCTATCAGTGCCAATCAGTGCTACCTAACAGTGCCATATATGAGTGCTGCCTTTCAGTGCCCACCAGTGATGCCTGTCAATGTCCATCAGTGCCATCTACCAGTACCTCCTCATCAGTGCCCATCAGTGCAGCCTATCAGTGCCCATCACTGTAGCCTCATTAGCGCACATCAGTGAAGGAGAAAAAATCACTTATTTACAAAATTTTATAATAGGAACTAAGAAAAAACAAGGGGGGTATAAGTGCCCTGTAGGCAAATGGTTAAAGACATACAGTATATTTGAAAATGTATTTTGAATTTTTTTTTCCAGATATTTTGTAATAAAAAAACACATTTCTACATACAGTATATATATATATATATATATATATATATATGTGTATGTATATATATTGAAATATATTTTGAAATATACTGAATACGGCCAAAATTGTAGTATTTCAAATATATGTCAATATATTTGGGGAGAATATTTTTAAAATATATTTCAAATATATTTTTCTTCCATGTGGGCTTGTTCAGCTCTGAGCATAAGAGGCCTTCAGCATCCCAGAACATTGCATGTGTGCAGCTATTGCTGTAGATAATAAAGACTGTGATATATTACCCTCTCAAGTCTAACTGAGTTGTTGACAAGAATTAGTAAAAAGAGATCATTACAGTGACCTTGTCACTACGGGGTCACTGTAAGCAAAGCAGGATCTGTTAGAGAAGAGCTTCAATACCTATCTGATTGCTTGTGTCTTCAGACTAGCACTTTACGGTTACCTGACCACTGCAGATATTCTGCACTTCTCAGTTGGTGAATACCTGCTACTCCCATCACACCTTGAAATTTCCTCCAGCTGGCTTGTATGTTGCTACAAGATACATGAGCCACTGGGGGATGCAGGTATATGACACACCCAGAAGTGTCAAATAGATGCAGAGATCAGGGATCAGCAAAGCACCAGAGTTTAAAGATGCAGACCACCCATTGAGTAAGTACAGATCCTCTACTTTAAAAGGCTGTGTTTCGTTTACAGGTGATCATAAGACCTGAAGTCACTTGTAACTAACTCATAGAATTCTTAATGTAACTCTTTCACACCCATCATAGCTGGTATTTTTTTCTGGGAAAGGTGGCATCTTTAGCTGAAATGTATTTTGCTGCATTTCCATTTGCAAGGAAAATGCACTGGAAAGTCCATTTCAATAGTCTGTATATACTAATGCTTTGTGTTGCAGCATGAAAATATATAAAGTGTGTGAATAAGCCCAAGTCCACCATATGCAACTGCGGATGTCTGAACTGTACCATTGCCTACAGTGGTAAAAAACTGTTTGTCTGTTTCAATTTGCATGCTGTTTGTAGGTGTAGAAAACCAAACTTCAGTGCTTGTATGTGAATGAGCTGTAAGGTGTGCTTGAAAGACATTATTTATTATCAACAATATTTGTCTATATATGATAACTTTTTTGAATACATATGTAAATATTCAAGAGCTTATTGCTACCTAACAGAGGAGGACTGGGGGGCACAGGGACATTTACCCCCTTTGTCAGTATAAATACTACTGTATATGTTGGTTTAAAGATGTTTGGTGGAGTTTTTCCTGCGTTCAGAATGGGATCTACAGTCCGTTATGTAAAATGTGTATTACAGTAAACCGTGTTCTTTAAGATAACATCCATCTTTCATCATTGTCATCACTTTGTGCTTCACTTTCAGCCCAGAAATGAAGAAATAGCTATTTGTCTATGTCAATGTGCAAAAGTGAATGTTAGCGACTTTCATTATTAATTGGCTGCTGCATTTGTAGGGTTCTAACAAGGAATGTTGGAGGGTCTGAATCCCTTTAGAAGTGATTAACCCTTTGGGAGTATCTCACAAAAAGGAATTTTTATGGTTGCAGAGGATGCCTAAAATATGACTTGTATTTTAGTGCAGACTTCTGGACAAATCAAATTCAGTGAACCAATCACACAAGCAGGAAGACCTTTCTCTAAGTACACCAACCTTCAGGTTGTCATATTGGCAGACAGGACATATAATTTATTCGCTCTTTGAATGAAGAGATGTGATTTTAGATCTGACAGCTACCTTGGGAAAGAAGAGTCCTGCATACTTGTAGGTGGGTCCAAGCACTTGTTACCCAGAGAGGAGAGAATGCACCAAGGAATGCATCAAAGTGTATTAACATGAATGTTCTGCCAAGGTAGTAACAGAGTTTGTGCAACAGGGCCAAACCCGCCACAGCAGCACTTACAGAGGGTCTTGCAAAACACAGTTCAGTTTTACAGAGAACGCTCAAAAACAACTTGCAATGCCTGGCAACATCTGGCAAAGGAGATGGCTGGAAAGTGGTCTGGCAACAAGGCACCTGAATGCAGGAAGAGCCCCTGGCTGGCTACACAGGCGACCAGTCTCTATTCTGTTCCTCCTCCACTGGAACCCTTCCTTATGCTAGATACGCTGTCTCTGACCAGCGAGTTCCTGTCCCTTACCTAGCCACTTTGAAAATGTGCGCCATCTACAGAGGGACAATGCTAGTTATTAGCACTGCCCACACTAAAGATGGCCACCAAGGTCATGCAGGGCAGTAGCATCCAATCAGACAGCTGCTCTCCTAATGACACAGAGGCCTCAGAGGAACACACATTTCTTCTGTTCTCTTTTCTCTCTGCATGGCAGTTGCCATAACAGTGCCACCTGTGCAGGGAGGATCAACTGCACCTGCTTGCACACTGTCAATGTGGAGACTCTTTTGGTTGTGAGGGGATTCACTTGGCACCATGTTGCACCCTAAATATGTGTGTAACATGCTTCTAAAGTAAAGTTAGCCAATAAAGCAGACCAAAATAGACTTTGGAATTCCTCATTCACAATATAAAAAAATTAAAAAAGTTTTTTTTTTTTTATTTAATTTTCCTATTTCACATTCGACCTGCCCCCAACTAGATTCTCATCTAGGAAAGAATGGCATTTTTGCCCCCTGGCATAATAATGTCACCCATCTTCGGAAGCAGTGACTTCCACACAGCACAGGGAGATACACTTGGTGCCGTGTTGTCGGGCGGCTTCTGCAAGGACAAAGAAGGGACAACCAGCTCCAGATGATGGGGAAAACAAAGATGGTGACACTGGACAGGACATACACTTGGTGCCGTGTTGTCGGGCGGCTGGCTGCAAGGACAAAGAAGGGACAACCAGCTCCAGATGATGGGGAAAACAAAGATGGTGACACTGGACAGGACGTATGTCAGAAGAACAGCAGGGGATCAACGTACATTGCATGATTTACTGGTCTTGTAAGTATGTTTATCCTGGATAAAAGAGCATCAAAGGCATAAATGGCATATAGAAAATAATTGTAATGGGCATGGATGAAAGTTGTCTTTAAGAAAAAAATACATTTCTTTTTTAATTAAAAATAAATCTACTACAATGTACTAATTAATCTTGCTCCTAATTTGTTCTAGTCTTCTCCTAAAATCAGTAAAGTGTTTCTATACTACATCTATCTCATTTAATGTGGATTAAGTCACAGCAGTGCCGGGGCATAAATGATATTATAATTAACAAAACTAATAATTAGCCATCTCTCACAAGGTGGGAGGGGCAAGTGTTTATTTCTGAGAAGCCTCCCCCCCCCCCTTGCATTGGTTGCACCTCAGGTGTGGTATTAACCTTGTTATGTAGGTGGTGTGCCATGGAGGGGTGATACTCTGAGTGGGGTGTGTGGTGCTCGTCAGTCCCTCCCAGACTGTGCATGGAACAAAAGCTGACTGTCACTGTGGTTGGAGAGAGACAGATGGTGTGTTGAATGCTCAGGCTGGCACATCTATTTTCACAGGCTGAGGCTGTAGTTTTCCCAGGCCTTTTATGAAATCCATCCCCTGTCTTCTACTTATAATTATTGCTTAGGTAAAGGTCTGGCAATATGCACAGCATATCAAATTTTGCAAGGCCATCTAATTCGTACGCATGGCATAGAACACTATTCCTAAACATCAGCCTCACACATATGACACTGTTAGACTACATTTTCATATAAATTGTTTAACATTTTATCTATGTGGCTTGGTAGAGAGCAAAGAGGAAACCACTACCTTGAGGACAAAAGAAAAAAAAAAATAATTCTGCTGAAGTCTGACTGGGAAAATATAAAGACTAATGGGTGTGTGTTGCTTACTTTGCACATCGTCTTGTTGGTCACCTTTGTTTTAATCAGTCAAAGAATAATGTGCACATTGCAGGAACCAAAAGCAGCCGGTCTGAAAATATTTCTCATTGTTTATAATGCTCTATACTCACCAGTCTGTCTTGTCATGTAGTAGGGCATTTGCTGCTCTTTATATTGTATTTTGTCAAACCCATTAAGGCGTTGCATGTTCAGCCCTGTATCAGTGAAATTTCTGTTGCTTTCTTCTTATTATTATTATACAGGATTTATATAGCAATATATAAAGAAATATAAGCGAGCGCATATAATGAGATCTTATAGTTAGTATTATACCTAGTAGTCGTTAGTAATGTAGGGTATAGTTAATAATTCATATATTCATAAATTCACATAAATAGAGAGTATGAAAGCAAGTTCTAAAAAAGTATACATAAAATGATGTAAACAAATTATTTACGGATAAAAGAATAGCTGCTAGCACTTAAGGTATCGGTAACTGTCCCAATGTAAACGTATATCATAAAAGTGCAGCTCTGACAGTTTTACAAAATGAAGGTAGACATTACAGTTACAATACAACTTAATACAAGAGGAAACAGAGGGTCCTGCTCGTTAGAGCTTACAATCTTCTTCTTATAATAGATGAATATAGACATAGACAGAAAACATAGACTCATAAGACATGCTAGTTGACAGTTACACCATCCTGTTAACGCATTATTATTATTATTAGTATACAGGATTTATATAGCGCCAACAGTTTGTGCAGCGCTTTACAATATAAGGGAGATAGTACAATTACAATACATTTCAGTACGGAAGGAATAGGAGGGCCCTG